AGCCCTGAGGTTTTTACTGTGCATTCACCGTAAGGTACAGAGTTGGGAAATGGTTAATCAGCTGTGGTCTTCAATGTAGGACTGTGCAGGCATTGAAAACCAAAACGGTTCATGAAAACCATGAACAGGAAGACTGCAAAGGAGTGGTCATAGTAATAATATAGCTCTCCCCGTTGAACTTTTAATACGTACCGGGTACCATAGTTGTTCTCTAAAGCAGTTTTATAAACTCGGAAGTTTTGAGTGGGTATTATGACATGAGAAAGTCATTTCTCCCTCTTTGTTTTTCTCTTTCAAAATGTTTTTGGCTCTTATTACACCATTTTATACTCTGTTGAGTTAAAAAATTTTCCAATCCTAGTTTATTAACATAATATTAAAATCATTTTTGAAGATGTTGAATTTTATAAAATTTGCGTAATTGTGATTACATGAATGATTGCATTAGGTTTCCTGATACTTTGCTGTTCTTATATTCCTGTGATGAGCCTTATTAGGTTAATATACGGCTAGATTTTATTTGTAAGTAATGGATCTCTAGTAGGGAGTACATGTTTAAGTGTGGTGTGTCTGTTAGTTTTGAAAACAGGGTTTTGCTAGCCTTATAGTAATGAATTGAAATGCGTCCTGTCTTTTCCTGCATTTTGGAATAGTTTAAACAACAGGATGGATTCCTATGTTGCTCGTGAAACCCTTTGGGTCTGGTTGACTTTTGGTGAGAAGAGCATACCATCTTTTTCAAGTTCATCAGTAATTGGTCTCATCGGTTTGTCTCATTTTTCTTGGGTCCATTTTGGTACTTTTTTTTTTTTTTTTAACAGTTGTCCTCTGTCAAAGTGTTCAGGGTTTTGGCATTAGCTCACTAGGGGCAGTGGTGAGAAGACACATTTGTGTGGTATCTACATCTGGGTTGTGCTCTTTTGACATTCTCACGCTGTGCAGCTGGTTTGTTCTTTGGGCTGACTTGACAGAGCTTTGTTTTGTTTTTTTCAGTGAGCTATTTCGTTTTATGCTTTTGCAGTTCTACCAGTTTTGTTTTTTTATGGTCCACTAAGTTTTGTTTTTATCTTATTCTCTCATTTTCCTTTTTTAGCAGATTGCATTGACTGACTGCTCAGCTTGCTTTTAAGCCTCAGTGGCGTGTGAGGAATGAGTATTCCTTATGTGGTCAGAAACTCTGCAGATAGCTCTTAAAAAGGAGCTCACAGATGGTGGTGCTCAGATCATTTGTATCTTAATTTTTTACCTCTTGTTTTCTTTAATCTTACTTTCTCTCTTCTGGTCTGTCAAACTCTGGGAGGCTGCGCCTGGTCCCCTGCAGGCTGTGGATGTCCTGCTTTGTCAGCGCAGCTCTGAGGACTTTGCACCCCTTGTTTGGTATAGGGCTTGTTGGTTGTTGGTAGGTGAAGGTGCGTGGCTCCTCCTCCGGCATGTACTGTCGCCTTTAAAATATAAAATATCCCTCTCTGTTCCTGTTCAGTTCATTTTGTCTGGTATTTGTATTTCTAGTCCTACCCTGTTTCTCTTTGCAGTTCTTGGGTAATTCCCATATTTTCAGCTTTTGGTGCCAGGCTCGTTTTGGTCTAAGGGTTTGGCTGTATGTACCCCCTGGAAAGTCTCACTGCTAATAAACCCACTGTCATTGTGGAGTCTCCTGGTATATTTAGTCTGAAACCAGCGATTGTATTTTCTGTTTATTATATTTTCTGTTTTCCTGATTTTTTTCTATTTTCTATTACTTTTTTCCCCTAGAGTGGTTTGATAATTCTGCAGTCTAATTCTTGTATTTATGTGGAAGTAGCAGCTATGGATCAGTAGATGAGCTTTTTTTTTTTTTTACAAATGTAATCCAACCTGTTTTTCTTTCATGGTTAAAAAGCAGATAGTGTCATAGGGGAAGGGAGGGAGACAAACCAGAAGAGACTCTTAATCTCAGGAAACAAATTGAGGGTTGCTGGAGTGGTGGGGGTGGGAGGGTTGGGGTGGCTGGGTGATGGACATTGGGGAGGGTATGTGCTATGGTGAGTGCTGTGAATTGTGTAAGACTGATGAATCACAGACCTGTACCCCTGAAACAAATAATACATTATACGTTAATAAAAAAAAAAAAAAAGCAGACATTGTCTGTCACCTGTGCTCCTTTCTACCCTTGGGGCAGAATTTTTAGCATACTTTTATTTTCTCCTGTTCTTACTCTAGGTTTTGTTAAATAAGAATTATAGTGACACTTAAAAATATATCCCTTTTTATATTTTAGATTTAATCTTAACGGTTTCATTAATATTTAAAACAATGTTTTAATATTTACTTACTGTTTTAATACAGGTTTCCCTGCTGTCCAAAAGTAAAGCATTCCTATAAAACCCAAAATGGCTTAAAGTGAAGAAGCTCTTACCATTAATTTATATTGAAAAGTTCTTGAGCTTTCCTAGACCCAAACAATAACCTCTCTTAGGCTTTTCTGATACCTTAGGACACATCTTGCTAACATGCACAAAATAAATCGAGATAATGCATAGGTGTTCATAGATGCAGTTCAAAGCTACGGCGCTTGCTGCCCAGAGGCTGGGTGTAGTTCCCGGGGAAGGAGCTTGGTGGCGCCACTTGTGCTCGGGGTGTGCGCTGCCTCTATAATGGCTCACTGCGAAACAAAGACAAAAACACCTTTTTTCATAAAAGCGAAAATCCTTTTTGGCTTTCTTTTGGTCGGCAAAAACAGATACTAATTTGATAGGTCTTTTGTAAAAGTGAAGAAGCTAACTGAACTTTGGAAAAGCAGAGAATACGTGTAATTTTTTTAAAGAACTGGTGTATGTATTACATGTAATTTCCCCTTAAATCTTTTTTTCCTTTCACAGTTAAGTATGAGGCAGCGTTGCCTAAGATTGAGTTAATGATGGCTTTGGAGTTGGCTCCCTTTCTACGTTCAAATCATGACTCCACCACTTCCCAGCTGTGTGACCTGGTATATTATTACAGTTTCCTCCCCTGTAAACCAGGGGTTCGTAATAGGACCTCTGTCCTTTTTCAGGGGCTTGCTGAGAGTGCTCTGTCTGTGATGAGCATTCTGGGTCAGGGAGCTCCGCCGTCTGCTGTTCTGCAGGCGCTATGCGTTCCAGGCACACTTTCTTCTGCCCTAGGAGAGGGACCGTGTTCTTTTAGTGACCATACCTCTGCCCTGGCTGGATGTATAGTGTACTGTACCCAGCCTCTCTCTGGCTGGTTTATTTTCTGTTTTTGCCTATCTGGAGGTGGAATTTATTTTTTCCGTCAAGCATGACTGCCAGTTTGGATCAGTGCAGAATTCCAGGGTCAGAGCGTTTTCCCTAGAATTATGGAAAGATCGTCTCTTTGCTTTCTGACAATTCAGAGAAACAGAAGAGATATCCAACTCAGGTGGAGTCTTTTTCCTCTGAAGGGAATCTTTTCTTCCGTTTTGTTCTGACTAGAAGCTACAGCATTTTCTCTGTACTTTTGGAATCCTAGTAGGTATATACCTAGGTATAGGTCTCTTTTCATTGTTTCTGCCTGACACTCCATTACGTTTTGCTCTCTACACTCCTGTTTCTCTTTAGAATTTTTTTCTATCTTTTAAAAAAATCATTGTTTTTTTATATCCTTTTGTATTCTCTCCTCCTGGAATTCATGTTCTGTATCAGTAGAGCACCTGGATTTGTCTTCTTGTCTCCCTGGCTTTTCTCTCATTTTCTTTTTCTGGCTTTAAAATAAAAAAATCACTTCCCATCTATCTTGTTTTAAGTTTAACAAGAATTGACACAAAGAGTATTTTAGAAAAATAAATATTGGGTAAGTGTTTACATATGATAACTTTTTCTAGTCTTCTTTTGAGGGCCCTCCTCCTTTTTTTCCCTAAAATTATGTTAATCACCATACATTACATCATTAGTTTTTGATGTAGTGTTCCATGATTCATTGTTTGCGTATAACACCCAGTGCTCCATGCAGTACGTGCCCTCTCTAATACCCATCACCAGGATAACCCATCCCCCCACCCCCCTCCCCTCTAGAACCCTCAGTTTGTTTTTCAGAGTCCATAGTCTCTCATGGTTCATCTCCCCCTCTGATTTCCCCTTCTGTGATTCAGCAGTCTTACACAATTCACAGCGCTCACCATAGCACATACCCTCCCCAATGTCTATCACCCAGCCACCCCATCCCTCCCACCCCCCACCACTCCAGCAACCCTCAGTTTGTTTCCTGAGATTAAGAATTCCTCATATCAGTGATGTCATATGATACAGATCTTTCTCTGATTGACTTATTTCGCTCAGCAAAATGACCTCCAGTTCTATCCATGTTGTTACAAATGGCAAGACTTCATTCCTTTTGATGGCTGCATAATATTCCATTGTATATATATACCACATCTTCTTTATGCATTCATCTGTCGATGGACATCTTGGCTCTTTCCACAGTTTGGCTGTTGTGGACATTGCTGCTATAAACATCAGGGTGCACGTACCCCTTCGGATCCCTACATTTGTATCTTTGGGGTAAATACCCAGTAGTGCAATTGCTGGGTCGTGTGGTAGCTCTGTTTTCAACTTCTTGAGGAACCTCCACACTGTTTTCCAGAGTGGCTGCACCAGCTTGCATTCCCACCAACAGTGTAGGAGGGTTCCCCTTTCTCCGCGTCCCCGCCAACATCTGTCGTTTCCTGACTTGTTAATTTTAGCCATTCTGACTGGTATGAGGTGGTATCTCATTGAGGTTTTGATTTGGCTTTCCCTGATGCCGAGAGGGCCCTCCTCCTTAATAGTAGATCTAGTAATCAGTGTTTACCAGTTACAGATTAATGAAACATAAACTTCGAGTGCTGATAATGCATAATTGTAATCGTATGTATTATGATTGTGTACATATTTTAAAAGTGCATTAGATTATATCATTGAAAGGTTGCCATTTAAAGAATCATGCTCATTTAGTTTATTTAAATGAGCTTATTTAAAACTGGCTTTACCATTTTATCATCATTTTAGGAGAAACTAATTCGAGATATTGCTCATTGTCATGGCATTTTGATCACTTCTTACTCCTACATTCGGCTAATGCAAGATGACATTAGCAGACATGACTGGCACTATGTGATCTTGGACGAGGGGCACAAAATTCGAAATCCAAATGCTGCTGTCACTCTTGCTTGCAAACAGGTATGACCTTTTTTATAGCAAGGGAGATTTCCAGGTGGAAAATAGTATTTAATTGAGAATAAACTCTGCTTTTAGTAACACACTTACTGACTCTTGTGCCTTTGCATAAGGAATTTGAAATACACGTTTACCTTAATGCAGAAAATTCTTTATTCTTGCCCATAATCATGGTAAAAATTCTCATTGTTCACATTACTGACTGTCTCTCATAGGGGTCAGTTGTTAGAATGTAACCAAATCCAACTCTCATCCCTAGTATTCAGCTTGAACAATAAGAAAAATTCTTTCCTATTTATTTTTCTATATTGCATAAAATGTATACATTTTGGAGATGATTAAAATGATATGTAAAAGTGTTAAATAACCAGGATTGTATGGGAATATTTTGGGGTGGGGATGGTGATCATCTCTTGAAAAGTGAATTTAATAAAAAAGTGTTTTCTTTCCCCAATTAGTTCCGCACCCCTCATCGCATCATCTTGTCTGGCTCACCAATGCAAAATAACCTCCGGGAGCTGTGGTCGCTCTTTGACTTCATCTTCCCAGGAAAGTTAGGCACATTGCCCGTGTTCATGGAGCAGTTCTCGGTCCCCATCACCATGGGGGGATATTCAAATGCCTCCCTGGTGCAGGTAACGTATTAGGCAGGTGACACTTCTAGGTGTTTTAATATTTAAACTGTTCTACTTAATACTGTACTTTGTAGCCAAGTCATTCATAATATAAGGGAAATGGCCAAGCTTATAAACTGGTACCTGCCAAAAATCACAAAATTATTTTTGCTTGACACCTCATATTTTTCCAGATGAGTTTTAAAAAATCATGTAATGTATTCAAAACCAGTCAGAAATTATGAAACAAGAATGAATTAGTTCTAGACACTATATAATTTAGTGCATCTTATAAGATAGTGTCAAAGCTTAGAAAAGGGGAAGCCAGGGAGGATTGAGTTGTTCAGAGAGAACCCAATTCTGGGAAAATAGGCCAAGAAGAGTCAGGGCATTCTAGATTAGGGCAGTGGTGTGAACACAGCTGTGTTGTGTGGCCACTGGCCAGAAGAGACATGCCTGATTGTACTGGAGATGCTTGTGGGGTAGCAGGGAAGGTGCGGATGCCAGATATGGGGGCCTTGAAAAGGGAGGCAGAGGCTCTTAGCGAAGAGCCACCGAAGGTGTCTGAGCAGGAGGATGAAGGAGGGCTGCTCTTGGAGGGTCCCTCAGGCTGCGCAAGTGGTGAGGGACCCCCAGGAATTGTTAGGGGTGAGGGTGATGAGGACCTGGACCTGGACTTGGGTGGTCGTTCTGAGAAAGAAGGTGGAGAGCAAAAGTTCCAAGTGGCATCTTTTTCCGTAGAACAAACAAGATGTGGGGGCCGCTAAGATAAAGGAAATGGGGTGGAAGTGGTGAGCTTGCTACAGCTGACCCCTGAGGTTTTAGACCTGGGTGACTGGCAGAAGTTGGGGGAGGGGGTTGTCACAGACAGGAACATCAGGACGCTGACCTCAGGGCGGTCTGTGGCATGTGGAGGCAGACCTCGGCCGTGGTGAAGGGCACAAGCCCTAAGGTGGGGCCTGCACCCACCAGGTCATGACTGAGCCGGAAATAAAGCCATCTACCAAAAGAGACCTTTACGTGTTTAAAAATACTTAGAGAAAGAATTTTGGACCTTTAAAATTAGGGGATTGTCAAAAATCATTTTAATACTTGAGATGGAATGACTTATAACTAACTTTTATAAGAGCCCCTCTTCCTCCACGGAACCCCTGCTGTCCTTCATTTATACCATTCTTTTGGAAATTTTATTTTGAAATAATTTCAAACTGAACAGAAGGTTGCAAGAATTATTAAAAAAACTCTTCACTAGATTCATCAGTTGTCAGCATTTCCTAACATTTTGCCACATTTGCTTTATCTTCTTCCTTCCCTCCCTCCTCCTTTCCTACTTCTGTGTACACGTGCACACAAATTTATACTGTTTGTTTTTCCTGACTCATCCGAGAGCAGGTTGTAGACATTATGTCCTTTTCCTCCAAGTCCTTCAGTGTGTATCTCTTAAGAACAAGGACATCCTCCTACGTAACCACAGTAAAAACATCCACATCAGGAGGAAATTTAACACCGATACAATTCTGAGGTCTGTAGTCATTCACATCTTGCCCGTTGTTCAAGTAGTTTCCCTGTCTCTCTAATCCTCCTTTAATCTGCAACAGTTCCTCTAGTTTTGTTTTGCCTCTCGTGACTTCAATATCTTTCCAGACTACTACGGGCCTTGTGTTTTGTAGAATGAGCCTCACTTTGTGTTTGTCTTCCATTCTCTGTGACTTGTCTTTCTCGGTGCTCCACCTCTGCAGGCACGTGCTGTTGGTTTACCCTTCGTGGGTGGTGACGGTTGGTGGTATCTGATTACTGGGGTAAGGTGGTATTTACCAGATTTCTAAACTTCAAATTAACCACTTCCTTTGGAATTAGTAAATCACTTCTAGGCAGAGACTTGGAGACCCTGTAAATATGGTCTCTTTCGTCCTTATGTTAGAAGTCTGTGTACTTAACCTATTTTCCCTTTGTAGGTATAGGTCTTTGGGAGCAGAGCTGTTGGGTTGTTTTAAGATTTTATTTGTTTATTTGAGAGAGAGAGAGGGAGACAGAGCATGAGCCAAGGGGAGGAGGTAGAGGGAGAAGCCAACGTCCCACTGAGCAGGGAGCTTGACGTGGGGCTCGATCCCAGGACCCTGAGATCATGACCTGAGCTGAAGGCAGACGCTTAATGACTGAGCCACCCAGGCGCCCCTAAATAAAATCTTTTTTTAAAAAAAACACAGTGAAAATCATATTAAAAGACCCTAAGTATACCTCACTCAACTATGTATACACATATGTGTGTTCACCTTGTGTGTATGTGAGTACATACACAGAAAAAACAGGATTTACTTGGAATAGCAGACGATAACAAGTTCAATTAATCAACAACTTTTAGTTACAGGTAACCTTGTAAATGTATCATTCAGACACTGATTAAAAATTACCCTTGAGATGATGATCAGGTACGTACTATGGTTTGTAATACAGAGGTGATAAATTTCCAAAATTTAACATGACTTTACAGCCCCACCAAGGAAGCAAGTACACTGTTTAAATTCTTCCTAAAAATATATGTAGTATGTTAAGGAAACTATCTCCACATCCCCCCCTCTACTCACATATTTCTCCTCCAGAAGCACGAGTGAGCGGGATGATAGTGCTGGAAAACCAGGGCTGGGTTGGTGAGTGGCCTGGCAGCTCACATCTGCTCTCTCTCCTGCCTGTCCACCCCCTCGGGAGAGTTCTTCTTGCACCGCCCCTCCCTGTCCCTGGCCCACTGTGGTGAACTCACAGGGGTCAAACTCACAGTGGCTGGGGATGGGCCTGTTTTTCATAACCAACTCTTCAGAGGAAGAACTAAAACTCTGGAATGTGGTGGCAATGGGAGAGCAAGGAAGACTCAGAAACCCAGTTTTAGCCTTGATGTCCAGCCACGTTCTCAGTCCAACTTTCCTAGGCAATCCTGTGCTTTAGGCAATAAAGCTAATTCTATATTTACTTACCATCTGCCTCCCTGTCTCTCTGAGTACACAACATGGTAGGAATCCAACTGTATTTCTCTTAATTATCACTCCCAACTTCCCAGTGCCGTGGAAAATGAAGACCAACTGAGCACGTCCATGTTTCCTTCCTATTCCTGACAAGGCAGAGTGACAATTACTCCCCAGTTCTGCCTATTCCAGAGCTGAGGGACCTTAGGCCAGTCACCAAACCAGTGAGTCTCAGTAACCTTGAGCAAGAAAGGAGGAGGTTCTTTCAGTTCTTTATTTTTTTCTTTTCAGTTCTGAAATCTAAGCTTAATATGCAAAGCCAGGAAGCAGACCATATTCTTGGTAGTTAATGTTCTTCCCCCTCACCTTCCTCAGCCTAGCACATTCATTTCTCCCCCAAGAAGCCTTTCTTGACTCCCACAAGCTCTAATACTGGATATCTCCCACTCCCCCTCCTTGTGTTCCTTTTCTTGCTGTCTCTCTCTCTGTCAAATAAATAAAATCTTAAAAAAAAAATTTTTATTTGAGTGAGAGAGAGAGAAAGAGCATGAGTGGGCAGGGAGGGGCAGAGGGAGAGGGAGAAGCAGGCCCCCTGCTGAGCAGGGACCCCAGTGTGGGGCTCGATCCCAGGATCCTGGGATCATGACCTGAGCCAAAGGCAGATGCTTAGCTGAGTGAGCCACCCAGGTGCCCCATGTTAATTTTTTAACATGAATTTTTCTGTATGTGTTATCGTCATGCTTTTTTTATTGTCATTCATTTTGCAGCTAATTTTGTTAAACTTAGACTTTGGTTGGAGTTTTTCCTGTTCCATTAAATAGTAATTTACTAGGTTGTTAAGCCTATTTAGATTTTTTTTTTTTAAAGTATCAATAATTTATTGAATTCTTTGTTTGCCTTTAAGGGAGTTTTTCCTGAGCTGTGGGTCTTTGTTTTTCCTGCGTACAGTTAATACGCATCTCATGTGGCTCTGCTCCATTACAGAACCATATGCTCCATCTCAGGCTGGAGTGACCTTTCATTTCTGGGATCATAGGGCTTTTCTTGAACTTACTCTCCTAAGTCCCCAGTGGGCAGTAATCTCTGCTTATTATCTGGTTGCTCCCATGGCTACAGCTTTCCCCCAGAGTTAGCTTTTGATCTTCAGTCTCACAGAGCAGCAGTTCCTTTGTAGCTTTTGGAGAATGCAAGATAATAAACAGAGATTCATTTGAAAGCCGTTTTTTCCCTAGAGGGTAGTCGAGGACTGAAGAAATCTCTACTTTAGGGTTTAACAATATAATAATAATTAAAGCAAAGTATGGAGGAGGAATAGGGCACAAAATTACCAGTTCTTTTGTTGTACACTTTGGTTAATAAGTTTTTTAACTGATGATATCTTCTGAAAGGTACCACCTTCTGGAGTATATGGAACATATCCTAATTTTTCCATACCATTTTCCAACCATTTCCCGCCAATTTTGTATAACCATAGGTCATTAGAAAAAAAATTTTTTTTTAAAGATTTTATTTATTTGAGAGAGAATGAGAGAGAACATGAGAGGGAAGAGGGTCAGAGAGAGAAGCAGACTCCCCGCTGAGCAGGGAGCCCGACGTGGGACTCGATCCCGGGACTCCAGGATCATGACCTGAGCCGAAGGCAGTCGTTTAACCAACTGAGCCACCCAGGCGCCCTAGAAAAAATTTTTTAACATTGGAATCAATTGAGAAGACAAATGCATTTGCTAAACATAAGTAATTATTTGCCCTTTTCTCTTACTAAAGGTTAAAACAGCTTATAAATGTGCGTGTGTCCTACGAGATACCATAAATCCATACCTGCTGCGGAGAATGAAGTCAGATGTCAAAATGAGCCTTTCTTTGCCAGATAAAAATGAACAGGTCTGTAAATCCAGGAGTTACCAACCCATTCCTAATGCGTGGGTATACTTGTCTGTTTATTTTGCTTTTCGTATGCAGAATTGGTGAGGCTAACAGGTGTGGTTGCGGGTGCTGCAGGGCCGCTGGTCTCTGTGTACACCTGCATGTGACAGGTGAGCCTGCTGTGGCATCTGCCCTCAGTCCACAGGCTTTGATCTCTCTCGTATTAACACACAGATTCCTGCAACTGCACTTTCTGAACTTGTCCGTTTTCCTCAAGCCCCCAACTCATTCATGCCACAAATCAGAGGTGCCAGGCATGTTTGTGGGAGATAGCAGTGAACAAAGCAGCTGCTTGCTGTCCTGGAGCTCACCGTCATTCTTGAGGAGGGGAATAGTCATAGGCACATACGTCACCCAGCAGGCAGCAGTCATGTGGAGGAAACCCTGAGCAGGGTCAGTGGGGTGGGGCATGTAGGGCGAGGATTTGGGGAAGTGGGCTTCTTACAAGGGATGGTGAGAGGTCTCCTTTCTGATAGACATTTGAGCAGAGGCCTAAAGAAGGTAAAGGAAGCGAAGCATGGGGTTTTGGAAAGAAGAGCGTTCCAGGTCAATGGAAATGGAAGGGTGTTGGTACCTCCAAGGACCAGCAAGGAGGGCAGTGTGGCCGGAGGGCAGGAAGAAGGATGAGAGCACTTGGAGGGAAAAGTCACTTAGCTGGCCACGTCACCACCAGGGCCTGCTGGTCATGGTGAAGACTTCAGATTTTACTGTGAGTGAGGAGGCAGTTCACAGGGAGAGACTGAGCCAAGCAGTGATGTCATCTGACTTAGGTTGTAAAAGGGGCATCCTTTTAAGGCCCATCCTGGTGTTCTGTTATCTCAACAGGTAACTGCACCCTCTTTTCCACATCTAACAGTAAATACATTGTAGATTCTCAGTGTCGAAACTATAATTTTTTTATTGTTATGTTAATCACCATATATTACATCATTTGTTTTTGATGCAGTGTTCCATGATTCATTGTTTGTGCATAACACCCAGTGCTCCATGCAAATGTGCCCTCTTTAATACCCATCACCAGGCTAACCCATCCCCCACCCTCTTCCCCTCTAGAACCCTCAGTTTGTTTTTCAGAGTCTATCATCTCTCATGGTTCGTCTCCCCCTCTGACTTACTCCCCTTCATTCTTCCTCTCCTGCTATCTTCTTCTGTTTCTTTTTTCTTAAGATATGTTGCGTTATTTGTTTCAGAAGTACAGATCTGTGATTCAACAGTCTTGCACAATTCACAGCGCTCACCGTAGCACATACCCTCCCCAATGTCTATCACCCAGCCACCTCATCCCTCCCACCCCCGACCACTCCAGTAACACTCAGTTTGTTCCTGAGATTTAAGAATTCCTCATATCAGTGAGGTCATATGATACATGTCTTTCTCTGATTAACTTATTTCGATGAGCATAACACCCTCCAGTTCCATCCACGTTGTTGCAAATGGCAAGATCTCATTCCTTTTGATGGCTGCATAATATTCCATTGTGTATATATACCACTTCTTCTTTATCCATTCATCTGTCGATGGACATCTTGGCTCTTTCCACAGTTTGGCTATTGTGGACATTGCTGCTATAAACATTGGGGTGCACGTACCCCTTCGGGTCCCTACATTTTTATCTTTGGGCTAAATACCCAGTAGTGCAATTGCTGGATCGAATGGTAGCTCTGTTTTCAACTGTTTGAGGAACCTCCATACTGTTTTCCAGAGTGGCTGCACCAGCTTGCATTCCCACCAACAGTGTAGGAGGGTTCCCCTTTCTCCACATCCCCACCAACATCTGTCGTTCCCCGACTTGTTAATTTTAGCCATTCTGACTGGTGTGAGGTGGTATCTCTTTGAGATTTTGATTTGGATTTCCTTGATGCCGAGCGATGTTTAGCACTTTTTCATGTGCCTGTTGGCCATTTGGATGTCTTCTTTGGAAAAATGTCTGTTCATGTCTTCTGCCCATTTCTTGATTGGATCATTTGTTCTTTGGGTGTTGAGTTTGGTAAGTTCTTTATAGATTTTGGATACTAGCCCTTTATCTGATATGTCATTTGCAAATATTTTCTCCCATTCTGTCGGTTGTCTTTTGGTTTTGTGGACTGTTTCTTTTGCTGTGCAAAAGCTTTTTATCTTCATGAAATCCCAATAGTTCATTTTTGCCCTTGCTTCCCGTGCCTTTGGCGATGTTTCTAGGAAGAAGTTGCTGCGGCTGAGGTCGAAGAGGTTGCTACCTGTGTTCTCCTTTAGGATTTTGATGGACTCCTGTCTCACGTTTAGGTCTTTCAACCATTTGGAGTCTATTTTTGTGTGTGGTGTAAGGAAATGGTCCAGTTTCATTCTTCTGCATGTGGCTGTCCAATTTTCCCAACACCATTTGTTGAAGAGACTGTCTTTTTTCCATTGGACATTCTTTCCTGCTTTGTCAAAGATAAGTTGACCATAGAGTTGAGGGTCCATTTCTGGGCTCTCGATTCTGTTCCATTGATCTATGTGTCTGTTTTTGTGCCAGTCCCATACTGTCTTGATGATGACAGCTTTGTAATAGAGCTGGAAGTCCGGAATTGTGATGCCGCCAGCTTTGCTTTTCTTTTTCAAGATTCCTCTGGCTATTCAGGGTCTCTTCTGGTTCCATACAAATTTTAGGATTATTTGTTCCATTTCTTTGAAAAAAGTGGATGGTATTTTGATGGGGATTGCATTGAATGTGTAGATTGCTCTAGGTAGCATTGACATCTTCACAATGTTTGTTCTTCCAATCCATGAGCATGGAATGTTTTTCCATTTCTTTGTGTCTTCTTCAATTTCTTTCCTGAGTATTTTATAGTTTTCTGAGTACAGATCCTTTGCCTCTTTGGTTAAATTTATTCCTAGGTATCTTATGATTTTGGGTGCAGTTGTGAATGGGATCGACTCCTTGATTTGTCTCTCTGCTGTCTTGTTGTTGGTGTATAGGAATGGCACTGATTTCTGTGCATTGATTTTATAGCCTGCTACTTGACTGAATTCCCGTATGAGTTCTAGCAGTTTTGGGGTGGAGTCTTTTGGGTTTTCCACATACAGTATCATATCATCTGCAAAGAGGGAGAGTTTGACTTCCTCTTTGCCGATTTGGATGCCTTTGATTTCCTTTTGTTGTCTGATTGCTGTGGCTAGGACTTCTAATACTATGTTGAATAGCAGTGGTGAGAGTGGGCATCCCTGCCGTGTTCCTGACCTTAGGGGAAAAGCTCTCAGCTTTTCCCCATTGAGAATGATATTCGCTGTAGGTTTTTCGTAGATGGCTTTTATGATATTGAGGTATGTACCCTCTCTCCCTATACTCTGAAGAGTTTTGATCAAGAAGAATGCTGTACTTTGTCAAATGCTTTTTCTGCATCTATTGAGAGGATCATATGATTCTTGTTCTTTCTTTTGTTAATGTATTGTATCACGTTGATTGATTTGCGGATGTTGAACCAGCCTTGCAGCCCAGGCATAAATCCCACTTAGTCATGGTGAATAATCCTTTTAATGTACTTTTGGATCCTATTGGCTAGTATTTTGGTGAGAATGTTTGCATCCATGTTCATCAAGGATATTGGTCTGTAGTTCTCCTTTTTGATGGGGTCTTTGTCTGGTTTTGGGATCAAGGTAATGGTGGCCTCATAAAATGAATTTGGAAGTTTTCCTTCCATTTCTCTTTTTTGGAACAGTTTCAGGAGAATAGGTATTAATTCTTCTTGAAATGTCTGATAGAATTCCCCTGGGAAGCCATTTGGCCCTGGGCTTTTGTTTCTTGGGAGATTTTTGATGACTGCTTCAATTTCCTTAGTGGTTATAGGTCTGTTCAGGTTTTCTATTTCTTCCTGGTTCAGTTTTGGTAGTTGATACATCTCTAGGAATGCACCCATTTCTTCCAGGTTATCTAATTTGCTGGCATAGAATTGCTCATAGTATGTTCTTACAATTGTTTGTATTTCTTTGGCGTTGGTTGTGATCTCTCCTCTTTCATTCATGATTTTGTTGATTTGGGTCATTTCTCTTTTCTTTTGGATCAGTCTGGCCAGGGGTTTATCAATCTTGTTAATTCTTTCAAAGAACCAGCTCCTAGTTTCGTTGATCTGTTCCACTGTTCTTTTGGTTTCTAGTTCATTGATTTCTGCTCTGATCTTTATGATTTCTCTTCTCCTGCTGGGTTTAGGCTTTATTTGCTGTTCTTTCTCCAGCTCCTTTAGGTGTAGGGTTAGGTTGTGTATTTGAGACCTTTCTTGTTTCTTGAGAAAGGCTTGTATTGCTATATACTTTCCTCTCAGGACTGCCTTTGCTGTATCCCAAAGATTTTGGACAGTTGTGTTTTCATTTTCATTGGTTTACATGAATTTTTTAGTTCTTTTTAATTTCCTGGTTGACCCATTCATTCTTTAGTAGGATGCTCTTTAGCCTCCATGTATTTGAGTTCTTTCCGATTTTCCTCTTGTGATTGAGTTCTAGTTTCAAAGCTTTGTGGTCTGAAAATACGCAGGGAATGATCCCAATCTTTTGGTACCGGTTGAGACCTGATTTGTGACCCAGGATGTGATTAATTCTGGAGAATGTTCCATGGGCACTAGAGAAGAATGTGTATTCCGTTGCTTTGGGATGGAATGTTCTGAATATGTCTGTGAAGTCCATTTGGTCCAGTGTGTCATTTAAAGTCTTTATTTCCTTGTTGATCTTTTGCTTAGATGATCTGTCCATTTCAGTGAGGGGGATGTTAAAGTCCCCCACTATTATTGTATTGTTATCAATGTGTTTCTTTGCTTTTGTTATTAATTGCCTTATATAATTGGCTGCTCCCATGTTCGGGGCATAGATATTTACAATTGTTAGATCTTCTTGTTGGATAGACCCTTTAAGTAGGATATAGCGTCCTTCCTCATCTCTTATTACAGTCTTTGTTTTAAAATCTAGTTTGTCTGATATAAGGATTGCCACCCCAGCTTTCTTTTGGTGTCCATGAGCGTGGTAAATGGTTTTCCACCCCCTCACTTTCAATCTGGGGGTGTCTTTGGGTCTAAATTGAGTCTCTTGCAGACAGCATATTGATGGGTCTTGTTTTTTAATCCAGTCTGATAGCCTGTGTCTTTTGATTGGGGCATTGAGCCCATTTACATTCAGGGTACCTATTGAAAAGTATGAATTTAGTGCCATTGTATTGCCTGTAAGGTGACTGTTACTGTATGTTGTCTGTGTTCCTTTCTGATCTATGCTGCTTTTAGGCTCTCTCTTTGCTTAGAGGACCCCTTTCAATATTTCTTGGAGGGCTGGTTTCGTGTTTGCAAATTCCTTTAGTTTTTGTTTGTCCTGGAAGCTTTTAATCTCTCCTTCTATTTTCAATGAGAGCCTAGCTGGATATAGTATTCTTGGCTGCATATTTTTCTCGTTTAGTGCTCTGAAGATATCATGCCAGTCCTTTCTGGCCTGCCAAGTGTCGAAACTGTAAAGGATCTTGGAGGTCTGTCACCAAGGCTGCTTTCATCCCCGCCTCTTCCCTCCCCACAAACTCATTTCCAAAGTCAACCCTTGATCTTAGCATTCTCTCTACAGGTCTCCCTTTCCTGCCAGTGTCTCAGGCCACAGTGCTCTCTGCTATGTCTAATTCCAAATCCATCAGTTGCTGTGCTGTTTTATTGGTTCTTTTTCATGCCCTCGCTTCTTTGCTCCACATCCTCGTAAATTAGGGCAGCCAGTATCTGACTGCTCTCCCAGCCATTGGCACTCTCCACTCCACTCAGTATCTCACAGCGTCACTGGCTTAGTTTTTCCACGGCTTGTCTTCCTGCTGACATACCTTCATGTCCCTCTTCCGAACATCAAGAATCCTGATTTAGCTTATTTGCGCCAATTTATTTTCACTATGGAGTCCCAGAATGTCTCTTCTTTGTAATCCGTGTAGCAGCCAAGGCACATGGCTTGGAGACAGTTCCTGTTTTCCAGACATGTGCCACTTGTCTTTCCATTTGCATGTGATGTTCCCTCTCCCTGGAGGTTTTCCCCCTCCATGGTACCCACCCATCATACCCCCACAGCTTTCCCACAACAGAAGTTGTACGATTCCACTAGGCTCTTGACTAGAACTCCTTGAGCTCAGGACTTTGTCTTACTACTCACCTTAAAGTGCCATGTAACACATAAAACTGATTTGCAGAAACTAAGCATCTGGTGAATAATTAGTTCAGTTAACCTTGTGGTTAACAGAGGAAGGGCTTTTCTCTGTTGCCATTGTAATTTATGAAATCAGGAATTAGAAATACTCAGGTTCATATTTTCAAAAGATCACTCAGGCAGCATATGAAAGCATTGGAAGAGAAGGAAAATGGAGGCAAAGGGATGAGTTAGGTGGTCCTTCCAGAGTCCACAGAGGGCATGGGCCTGAGCCCCGTAGGGTATGGGGCTGGCAGGTGCTTCCCAGGTTTCCTGTTGAGATGCTGGGACCGATCTCCTGCCAGACACTTCAAAAGGACAGAGTGTGGAAGAGGTATTTGTGAGTTGATTTGGGTCGTTCGAAGTGCTCACGGTACATCTGCCTGCCCCAAAGGCAGTTATAAGTGGGCCTCAGGTTCTGAGGAGAGAGTTCTAGGCGGGGATGTAGTTATGACCTCTGAGCAGGGAAGGTGTGAAAGTTATGAGCAGGGATGAGGTTGCCCGAGGCTCATACATGGAACGAGAAGAGAGAAGCTGCAGCATTGTGGAGACAGTATCAGGAGGGGCTAGCTGGGAGGACAGGAGGACTAGGCAGAAAGGCAGTAGGTTAGGGGAACTGGAAACCTGAGGCTTAGGGACTCGGTGTGGCTGGCTGCTAGGAAGTCATTAGTGAGCTTGTCCACAGCACTTTCTCAGTGGACATGCCCTCCAGGCTTGTGCTGAGACCAGAAGAGGCTGGAAGGTGAAGATGTGGGGATGGTGATTATACATAAATCCTTTTAGGGAATTTTCTCCATTACTTTTTGGAGAGTCTAAGGTGGCAGAGCACTGTCCAGAGGAAGAGGAGAGGGTTTTTAGATCTGGTATGAAGGTCAGAGGGTTACCCTCTTCCCAAACAGGGAGCTGGCTGTTCCCCTGAAAATAAAGGAAAAAAAGTGAGGTCGATAAAGTAGATCAATTTTAGGGGGTGAAATAGGAATCATGACTGATAGCTTTGGTTTCTGTTTTTGATGTTTTTTTGTTTGTTGTGTTTTTTTTTTTTTTTTTAAGATATTTATTTGAGACAGAGTGTGCAGGAGCAGGGGGGTAGGGGCAGAGGGAGAGGGAGAAGCAGACTCCTCATGGGGAGGGAGCAGGGAGCCTGATGAGGGGCTCAATTCCAGGACCGTGGGATTATGACCTGAGCCGAAGGCAGACATTTAAGGCGTCCCATTTAATTTTTTTAAAGTAGAGATTGAATCAAAGGTGAGTAGGTCAGTAGGTGGCTTGGGGAGAATGAGGAGTGTTGTCACAGCCATTATGGGTTTACAGAAGGGGCTGAGCAGGGAGTGCCTGGAGAATTCTCCCGGAGACCAGGAGCAAGACACTGCCCAGATGGGTGAGGTTCTCCAGCAGTGCTCAGCACTTAGCATAAAAGGAGTAGAAAAGGCAGGTGTTTGAGTCAGTCTTCATTTGGAAGTTTACAAGGCAAATGTAGTGGGTGGCAAAGGGGTAGCTGAAGGAAAATGTCTTGGGTTTATGACTAGCCAAGGAATAGAGTGGACATGAAGAAAGGATTGAGAGGCAGAAAGTCAAGGAACATTCTGGCATGGAGTAACAGGCATAACTGGGCTGGGAGGATGGACAGGTCTGGTCAACTCGTGGACCTGTGCTTTGACCTCCAGGATAGGGTCTCTGGTCAGGTGTGCTGAAGTGAAGCGTGGGCGAGGGGCAGGGGCAGTGAGACAGTCTGAGCACTTGGAGGCTAGGGTGGAGGAGGGCTTGTGCATCTGGTGCTGAACTTTGTTGTGGGAAGGAAGCCGGTATTGGGGGAGTGTTGGGTTAGTAGGTGGGGACCAGGAGGTGGATGGATGGCAGAAGTGGAGGGGCTGATGAGAAGGGGTAGCTGTGTCTTTGTTTAGCTCTGAGATGGGGCACCGTTTTGGCTTTTTAAAATAAGAGGTACATGGTTAAAATTGTACACATTGTACTTTTTTGATTAGAAACTTTGTTGATGTTTTAATTATTTTATTTTAATTCTCTGGGTTTTTTTTTTCTACCCCCATAGGTCTTATTTTGCCGTCTTACAGAGGAACAACATAAAGTCTACCAAAATTTTATCGATTCCAAAGAAGTTTACAGAATTCTCAATGGAGATATGCAGGTCAGAAATGAATTATAGAGCAGGGAAGTGGGGGAGGAAAGGAAGCTAGTACTAGTCATGTTTCACAGTTACCTCTTGGAAACACTTGGCTGTGAACCATCTCTTAATTCAAAGCCCTTCCAGAAGTAAGAGAATGTGCAGTTACATTTGAGCACACTTCCTTTTGTCTGCATTGCAGCATGGTTATACTTGAACCCCACATCACGTGGTCTAGCAGAAGAGTAGTGCTAGACACAGGATCTGTAGTGGTGAGTCCTGCAGGGATGTCTGGTCCTATGCAGGATACAGGGAAGTGGCCCCAACTGCTGGGGTTAGCAGAGGCATGAAGGAAGAATTGTTATTATAAATGTTTGTGTAAGTAATAACATAAAATAACATTTTATTATTAACAATAATAATAACAGCATTATTGGCAATACTCAGCAAAAGATGTTGGTAAAGGTCTGTTCAATAAGCATATGTAGTAGGTTTCTATCAGCATATACTTTGAAGCTCCATATGAACTATTCAGTTTCTTTGTGCTTCAGGGTCTTAAAGTGTAAATTGTGTTCTATTTATTAGACACATAAAACTTCCTTAGTCTTGGGTCTGTCCTCATGGGAGGTACAGCTGAGTAGCAAGCATCTTACTCTCTGAAACACACTTCCCTTCTTATAAACAGAGGTCGATAAAGAGATGAGTGCGGGTGGCATGGCTGCCTGTGTCCCATCATGTCTGCATGCTTTTTCTTCCAGAGGAAGTCATTTCAGTTCTTTTAGCTATGGCTCACTATTTCTTTTACTTCATCAATCACTGGCCTCAATGAGAGGTTCTTAAATCATTCACATTTATTCATCTCTCCTAAATCTGCCCTTATCTTCACGTGCCTCCAAGTTGTGAAGCGTTAGGTGGTCTAGATTAGCACTGGCCTGTAAATACAGAATGTAAGCTGCATGTGTGATTTTAAATTGTCCTAATAGTCATATTAAAAAAGGTAAAGAGAATTTTGGTAATTCTATTTAACCTGATCTATCTAAAATGTCATTTTAATAATCAAAAATTTTAAATTATTCATGACATATTTTACTTTTTTTTTTTAAACTATGTCTCCAAAATTGGATATTTTACATTTGCAGCACATTTCAGTTTAGACTAGCCTCCTGTGGCTTGTGACCACTGTATTGGAAGCACAGATCTAGAGGCAGACAGAGGAGTTACAGATGACTCTGGGGGAGTTCTGAAATATTCCTGATTTGTTCACATTTTTTATTATTTAACTTGTTTGTTAGTAGAACTACCATACTTTCTGATTATTGGCTTAACTTATGGTTTATCTTTTCTCCTTGAGCGTTTGTACTCATGAGCTTGATTTGAGTCACACTTGGAAAGCTGTGAAGGATGCCCTCCTGCTGGGGCCTGGAGGGCAGGCACTCCCAATCTCCTGTGCCCTTCTGCTGCGTGAACCACCCCCGTGAACCACCCCCGTATCTTTCCCATTTGTGTATTTCCCATGCAGATATGTTTTTGTTTCTAGAGAACTTATCTTATCAAGAAAAGATGAATGAAGGTTGATTTCTTCTAGCTCCTAATATGCTGAGAATAGGGAGGAAGCTAAGAAGCTGGTGAAGAATTACTTTTTTTTTTTTTTTTTAAGATTTTTAAAAATATTTGAGAGGGAATGGGCAGGGAGAGGAGCAGAGGGAGAGGGACAAGCAGACTCCGTGCTGAGTGCAGAGCCCGTTGCGGGGCTTGTTCCCATGACCCCGAGATCATGACCTGAGCCTAAATCAGGAGTGGATGCTCAACTGACTGAGCCATCCAGGCACTTTTTAATTACTTTTTAATCTGTGTTACATACATATCGAATGGCATTCTTCCCTTCCTTCCCAAGTGAATGTTATTTTACATGGCATAATCCAAATGCACGTAATTCTTTTATACCATAGATTTTCTCTGGACTTGTAGCCCTAAGAAAAATCTGCAACCACCCTGATCTCTTTTCTGGAGGCCCAAAGAATCCTAAAGGTATTCCAGATGATGAACTAGAAGAAGATCAGTTTGGATACTGGAAACGCTCTGGGAAAATGATAGTAGTTGAGTCCTTGTTGAAAATATGGCACAGGCAAGGTCAACGAGTATTGCTATTTTCTCAGTCAAGACAAGTGAGTATACAGACCTCATACAAGAAACAATTTGGTTCTTTAAGACTTATAACCAGTTATTAAGAAAATGGGATATAATCTAAAATAATGATTCTAAAAGCAAATTCACCTGCTGATACTGAGGTGGCAGCCTACAAATCTCTTTGGGAGCTTGGATCTCTCTCTAGAGTTGGTGCCTAGAAGTTGGCTTTTTTAAAAAGTTTACCATGTGATTCTAGGGTGTGAGCAGGTTTGGGTCTGAACTTAGATAGATGCCCTGTAAGAATTAGTAGTAGGGAAATACCAAAAATACTCTCGTAGAAGTTATATTTATCTGCCTCAAAGCAAGAAGCCCCTTTTAATTTAAGCCTGTTGGGGAAGGTGTGACTGTTTAGACAAATGTGGACCTCACTGGAGGTGTGTATTTGATTAAAACTCTTATCCCCTTCCCCCTCTCCCAAACAGATGTTGGATATACTTGAAGTATTCCTTAGAGCTCAAAAGTATTCTTACCTCAAGATGGATGGTACCACTGCAATAGCTTCAAGACAACCACTGATTACAAGATATAATGAGGTAACAAGTGATTTTAACAGTAAAGCCAAGTAGTGCCTCTCTGTGCAGTGGAAGGAAGAACTGCCTCACCCACCTGAGCCCTGCTCCATTGGGGATGGGCAGCAGGTAGAGGGAGACTTTCTGCTTTTAACTCAGTGCATTCCTGGATGGTGTGTGTGTGTGTGGGTGTGTAAACAAAGAATATATATTCCTTCTTGAAAAGCCAACTCTGAGATATTGCCAATATAATTGGTATTAAAAACGAGCCGTGAGATGGCATCTTGACCAGCGGTCTCTAGGACATAACCCATCCTTTGTATTGGAAGAGGTTTCCCTGTGTAGAATATGTAAAGACAGAGGGGAAGAGCTGTAACTAGTCTTAAATGTGCATAATGAATGTTGTGCATCTTACTCTAGGATACATCCATATTTGTGTTTCTTCTGACCACTCGGGTGGGTGGCATAGGAGTCAACCTGACGGGGGCAAACAGAGTCATCATCTATGATCCTGACTGGAACCCAAGCACAGACACACAGGTAAAGGAGTGTGCAAGTGGCAAACAGTTGAGTGGCCAGCCCTTAGGGGCCTTTGGTGCCCCTGTCAGCTTCCACATGGAGCTCCCATCTTGGTTGTTGCCTAGTCCTCAGCATGGAGGAAGACACCGTCTAGCCTCACAGACAGGAAGAATCTTCAGCAGTTTTATCTGTAGCATGCATCGCTACATCTAGGGTACAAAGAGAGAGTGCAAGGTTACAAACACACATTGTTTTTCAGGTAGAGGTGGCTCAATCTATCTTTGAGATTTGCCTTTTTATCTTGCTTAATGGGCCTGAGGTGTATTTAGTGTCATTAGGCAGAATTTTGGCTCTGGCAGGAGGAGGAAGCAGCTGGCTGTCTCTGTTTCTTTTAGTAAGCACTTGTCATCAGGAAGGGCGCTCGTTGAAATGCATCTCTCTGCCATAGGCCCGGGAGCGCGCATGGAGGATAGGCCAGAAGAAGCAAGTGACGGTGTACAGGCTGCTGACTGCGGGCACCATTGAAGAAAAGATTTACCACCGGTTAGTGCAGATGGTGGCCTGCTCCGTGACCGGAGACTGCTCTGCTGGCTGCCGCCCGCGCGCCATGTAGCTATAGAAGTATGCCGCCCGGGCTGAGCTGGGAAGGTTTTAAATGTATTGCTTTAAAAAAGTGTTTTTATCTTAGAGCAATAGTTACTGTAACTTAAAGGATATGTGAGGGGGTTTTGTTTTTTCCTTTTTGTATTTTTTCTTTCTCATTAAAGTAAGCTTAGATGACTTATTGTGAGTTTTTAAAAAATGTCTTTGAACCTGATCATTTTTCTACCTTACTAAACATCAAGGACTGCTTATGTGTAAACTTCATCTTAATTTTTATTTAAGAGAAATGTATATACCTTCTATAGTGTACCGTCTTTTTTTCAGAAAAATTTTAAGAAGTGACAGAGTTGAGATACGGGAATTTTCACACACCATGCAGCTGTGATCTGCGTGGGTAGCCTGGTGGTCTTTGACTCAAATGCCCCTGAGGGAGAGGTTGACTAGGACACCTGTTTCTTTTTCCATCTCTCTGTACAACAAGTAGGGGTATAGACAAGGGTTCCTTTAACAGTGGGGTGGAGATACGGCCACCTTCTCCCCCTCCTCTGCCGAAACTTTATTCTTGAACTGCACCCCCTCTCTTAAAGGGAGGCTCCCTGCTTTCCACCATGCACTGGGGCACTCCCTCATAGGTGTGTGTTCTTCAAGGCCTTATTCTGAGAGGGCAAGAGACAAGCTGTGTCCTGTGAGGGAGAGCTTCCTCTTAGACATGTTACAGCCTTGGGGTGGGGCGGTGTGGGGGGAGGGGGGAGCAGCCCTGCTTTGTGGCGGCGTGTGGGCAGGAGTGATGATGGTGTGGAGCTTCAGCTAGAGTGTGAATCAGCAGAAGGTGGGTGAGATGGCTCCAAAGGAAAGCTTTGCAAAGGCCAGGTAAGAGCGTTTCCAGAAACCCATCACAGAAGGGTTCTGAGGAGGGCCGGGCAGGGCACCCTTGGTCCAGGAGTCCCAGCATCCAGCTCTTTCCAGCTCAGAGAGGCTTGTGAGTCACATGATTGTATGCAGAAAGGTGATCCCTGACATGTGATGGATCTTGGAGATTGAAAAAGCTCACTGGGTATAAATAAGATACTCTTTGTGATTTAAATTCTGTCAAGCATGGGAGACCACCCGATATTTTACGTACTTTTTTTTTTTTTTAAAGATTTTATTTATTTGAGAGAAAGAGAGAGAGAGCACATGAGAGCGGGGAGAGTCAGAGGGAGAAGCAGACT